TAACTGATATTTTTATTGTTGGTAGTTTCTCAGTTCTTTTGAAACTAGACCATTTCCCTGGCGACTTTTCATGTAAGAGTTTTATAGAACTTTTAATTTTAAAACGTATATTTAAAAGTTCTGGCGATTTTTCTAATAAGTCGTTTAAAAAAATTATTCTCATTTATAGCTGCTCAAACCAACGACACATAAGAATCACGTGTAATTCATTTAACCCAAATTATAACTCTAATCTAAGCTCAATTTTCTGTTTATTTTTCATTTAATGGAACTTTTTTTTAAGAACTTGAATAATACAAATTAAACTTTTAATATAAACCTGATAGTCCGTGGTTCAGACCCCTTTTTATCGAATTATTAACATCCACCTGAAACTTCGTAAATAGTTTCATCTCATCGCAACCTACAACTATTTTATTTACGAATACTTTTGGAATTGGGGTGTTTTCAATCAAGAAGAGGACGAACTTTGTCTATTTAATTAGGTACTGAAAACTCGTTATTACACATTTGTTTTCTACTTGAGTTGTAAGATAATTTGATCACAAAATAGATAAAAAAGGTGGCCTACAAAAATATTGAGCTGTTTGGCGTGACCTACACCCCCAAATTTTCAAAATAACGAGGTTATATAGGACAAACGGCCCAATATTTTTGTAGGCCACCTTTTTTATCTATTTTGTGATCAAATTATCTTACGATCCAAGAAGCAAAGTGTTTTCGTGAATAAAATAGTTATAGGTTAAAATAAAACTATTTATGATGTTTTAGTATATCAAAACTATTTAAGTGTTTTCGTAAATAAAATAGTTGTACGTTAAAATAAAACTATTTATGAAGTTTTAGGCGGATGTTAATAATTCGATAAAAAGGGGTCTGTACCACGGACTATGGAATTTATTATAAAAAAGTTCCTTGGAACTTTTATTTTTAAAACTGTTTGTTGAAACAGTCCACAAAAACGGTTAAAATGGAACTTCTTTTCTAAAAAGATTCCACGGAAATTGTTCAAATATGATATTTTTAGAATATTAATCATATTAGTATACTTCATTACAAAAATGAATAATTAGCGATAATAACGAAAATAAGACATTAGAAACTATATTAACACTTCTACATATAGCATTCTTGAAGCAAAGAATAAATTGATGTAATGAAAAACTAGATAAAGCTAGAAAAAAATAATCAGTTTAATTGGTTGTATAAGAGACAAGTTTCTGTCTTTTTTTTAGAGGGAGATAGTTAAAATCAATAATAGTTGAGAAATAATGGTAACGTAAAAAGATAAAACAATTTAAGAAGGCTTCATTCAAAGTTAATTTTCTAAACCTCTTATATTTCAAGTTAATTTTATCTGAAAAAAAAAATTCTCTGAAATCATAGCAACTAACAAGTATAATTTAAATATTGTACTTCAAAAAAGTTGAATAAAAATGAGAAGTTAAAAATCATATATATATATATATATATATATATTTACAACTTTTCCTTCATCGACCTTTGAGTATTAAATTCAAACTTCACTATTTTATTGGGAATATAGGTCATGACCTTATTCCCAATAAAATAGTGAAGTTTGAATATATATATATATATATATATATATATATATATATATATATTATTATATTATTCAAGATAGTGTATTGAACAAGTGTGAAGTGATTAGTTTGTCCCACTGGAAAATATATCTCCAATTTATCAGCTAAGCTACAAGACAGAGGAACAGACACAGACTACCCCTGGACATACACTAATCCATTTTTTATTCGCTCAAGACCTATTCGTTTGGTCCAATAGAGGTTTTTACTTCTTTCTCGTATTAAGAGTATAAAATACAGAGAGCATAGAAGCCATACAAAAATATTTTTTATTTACTTAAAATATCAACAAGTTTCTGTATTATCCCAACTGCCAAAGGAGTCATAGAGCTGTTCTCCATTTGTTTTTACAGATTTAGTTCCTCGAAGATAAATATCAATATTTTAATTTTTATAACCTCAATATATGATAGGTACATCATCTCAACGATTTCAGGAGCTTTTGACTAGCATTGATGTTTAACTCGAAAACCTTTTACAGTATTAAAACCTTTGGAACTATATTGTGTCTTGATGTCTCTGCCAAAATCTTTAAAATACAATTTATCTTATCTCAATAAGTAAAATTTTGAAACCATCTGAGTTTTGAAACCTCCAATTTTTTCAATGACTATTAGTTGTTGCATGTTTTTTTCGAAATTGACATGAAATTCCTTTTCTTTTCATTCCTCATTTGTCAATATTCAGGAATTAGGAGAGCCGGAAAAAAAATCCATACACTAACGAATCCAGGATTTAATTTTTTTTTTTTTTGGGGGGGGGAATGTTTCAGCTTGTAAGATTTACCTTTTGTATGGATATATTAGGATAATTACTTCGGAAGAAAGAAATAAACGAACAACCTATATGGAATGGTGTTTAAGTGATTCTAAGTCATATTAAATGTAATTAGTCAAACATTAATACTTTTATTGATAATTATTTTCATAAAGCATTGTTATTTTTTACATTTAAACAAATCCGTTTCCTTTGGAGTTGTATTATATGGAGTAATTAAAATATATAGAACTTAAGTATTAGGTTATTTTGAGGAACGTTATTGGGAGCAGGGAGAGGTGTCATTACTAGCTATCTAGAAAGGAACAGCTGGGGGTAATGGAGCGTTCTCTATCGGATTTGTACCCGGCAACTTCCTGTTAGGTTTATTCTTCCTATAGGTACTGCAAAATTTACTTTGTTTACATACACATTCCACAGTTTTATTTATTAGTTTCAAAAATATAATATTCGTTTTGCGAATTAGTAATCCTACCATAGAAAAAAGTTGTATTGAACTATACAAATAATAAACAAACCAGTATTATTTAAGTGATTTTTTCAATTTTGATGTAGCCCCTCCACGTTTTACGATACACGGAGGACTGCAGTGGTAACTACTACCATACTTAGATATAATTTTATAACTCTTGAACTTTGATGCTTAAAAATATGTTCTGATAAACATTGGTCAACAAAAGCTTAAAAAAAAGTATGTGGTGTAAAACAGTAGCGGGTTCAGGATTTAATGTATTAATTTTTTAAGTATATATTTTTTTTTCGGTTTTCGTTACAGACCATGAAGATCTTTGGTCTCCTTCCAGACGCATATTGTTTATGGGAGCACAGATAGCCTGGAGGGGGTCACCCAACCTAACGTTGCTACGAACCATAGTCTCCATGGTGTAGGCCACCAGTAGCTGCATAGCCGACCCCTTTGGGGCTTATATGGCAGTGTCTTCCCATCGACTCACTCGTGTTCAATGACAGTGACAAATCGGTCTAGATCCATAGATTATGGCTGGTCAGAGTCAGCAGCCGCAAGAGGACCTATATTTCTTTTCCCGAAAGAGACCGCCCATTGACCAAACCTCAGGGAGGTTACTGACATCCTAGTAATCCACATCCTGATACTTTATATATAATTATTTTAAAAAATGAACTCTTTTTTACTAACAGTAACTATAAAAAATAGTTAAATATCAAGTTTGAAAGAATATGATAATTGGAAACTTGGGAAAAAAAGAAAAATGCTTATGAAGGTTGAAAATGAATCTCCGGAAATACAGTCAGAAGGTATACGTAAAATATATCGTTGGAAAGCGGAGAATTTTAGAAAAAATTATATCAAATAAATAAAGTTATAGAAGGTAACGGAGAGTGACGAAAAAATTATAAATAATAATTTTTGAAAACTAATATTGTCTAACGTAAATCACATTTTTTCAAGGAAATTAAATGAAATTTACTAATTGAATGTAAACATTTAAAATATTTTTAACTTTGATAAACGTATTTAAAATCCACGGAATCAAGGCAATGACATTGTTCTAACTATTTCATTACTGGTGTGAAAGAAGAAGTGAAATATAAAAATATTTCATGAATATGTTTATAACCTTAAAAACATTTACTGTATATCAATAACTCTAGATCTGATATATTTAAATAATTAGGTATCTATTGTGTGTTTATTACAAAAAATCATCATGAAACCTTTTAGAAAATTATATTAGTGATTAGTTTGATGAAATTTCCTTTTGTGATATTCCAACAGTATCCACTTGCAATTAGTGTGACAGCTTTTGACCTGTCTATGGCAGGCAATGCAAATCTCTTAATTCCATTTTAGTAAACTTTGCAATGGAAAATAATAGTTAAATAACTAATAGTCGTACAATCCATAGTCAACGGATCGTGCAATCCATAATCAACCGATGATATAATGAATAGGATTTTTGTTATTGTAATGGTATTTATGATTGTTAGCTTCAAATTGAAAACTTTAGCTAGGTTGAAAATGATATTCAAAAACTTTAGAATAGCTCAACATAGCCAGAAAATTCAAAGTTGAGCGGCAAGTGAAAGTTGTGTGTTGAGCGCACCATATTTTTTACAATCATTTTATTTCTAGGAGTTGTTAATAAATTTTTTCTTCCTCACTTTTCTGTCAATGTTTTGGACTTTTTCTCTATCTTCATAAACTTCTATATCTTAATTTTTTAATTTGATAAAATGAGGGCTTGAAATTAAAAATTAAACTTTATTTTTAATAAGTTCTGATTTGACTGGAATATTTTTGATAATATATATTTTTTATTGTTTTTGTCTTATTTCGGAACAAGAACTTTCTCTCATGAAATGTTACGATTAAAGGTTTCATACAAATTTTTAGAGAAAATTTTCGTTAAACCAATTAATTTCGCCAAAAAGTGAAATAAAAAAAGTGATTGTGTTGAAGGTTAAAATCGATAAATCCATTCAAAATAAACATATCTTTAATCTTATCCCAATTACTCCATACTATACTCACATATTACGTAACGTTTTTAGTACTTAAATAAATAACAGTTGAACTTTTATAATGAATTCAGAACTTAATTTTACAGAACGTTGTTAGTTCCAAAAGTAATACATTACATAACAACAGCCGAGTGCTTCTCCAACTTTCAATAACGCCATTTCGCTTATAATTGGTGTTTTGAGATCTTTATCAATTTCAGCGCGGAGCAAAAGATAGCATTCCATAAAGTTTTTTTCCAATGTGGTAAGATGTTTCATGATGATGTTCTGAAAAATTGTTTGATATTAGATTGTTTTCGTTTTTGAATTATTGTTAATATTGTTATCAGAGCTCAGGAATTAAAAATGCCAATTGCTTCAAATACGAATAACACTATTGTGAATGCTGTGTATCAAATATCAATATCTGACTACTGGAGGCAGTGTATATACATCTGTACACCTTTTTCCATTTAGGTATTTTAGTGTTGGGATGATGAGTGGTTACCAATGGACAATTTTCTCCATCATTTCAACGATGGATTTTTTTAAAAGTACTATTATACATTATACAGAGAAATTACTCCAATCCACTACCGAATATTATCAACATCACACGCATTTAATTCATTCAGTCCAAAGCTCTTCCAGCAGTAGCCAATGCGCCGATCTATGTAACAAACAAAAAGCTACATCATGACCTTAATATCCCATTTGTCCTAGAGTTTATCCCAGAAAAATACTCTAAATTTCTTTCACCAGAACGTTACATACCATCCAAATCCTCTTGCACAATCCCTGTCTAGCTCAATCCATCCCTACATTTTGTAAATATGCATATATTGGAGTTCCGGCAAGGGGCAGATTCCATTAGTGGTATATAATAATACTTTATTTATTCTGGGACGAGTCCCTTTAGAATAGTACAGAAAGATATAAATGTGGACTAAAGAGCCTCAGAGATACATGGACAAAAATACAAAGTAATTAAATAGTTATAATAAAAAAAAAATAGAAAAAATTGTATATTACTTTCTAACTTTAATCAGCTAGTCATATTTTTTTTATTTCTAATGAAATTTACAACTGTATTACATAGAAAATACAATAAGTAAATGTGACATTGGCAACATGAAGAGAAACTACCCATTGGTAGAAATCAAATTAAAGTTCTATATTAGAAGGTCCCGAGGCCATCATCTTTTCAGACGCCTTGGAGGTTTATCAGGGATCGAGGAGGAAGCAAGGTTTGAAACGAGAGGATTCGGATGGTTTTGCAGTTTGTTATGGTAGAATAGGTATCGGGATTGGGCCAAATCTGAAACATATGGAACATTAAGGTCTTTATGAATGATTTTATTTGTGACAAAGTAAGGAGCGTTGAGGATTTTGGATTGTAAGGATTGGATACGAGAGGAATTCGATGGTTTAGTGGAGCCCCAAAGCTCAATTCCGTAAGTCCAAATAGGTCTTATGATTGTCATATATATGAGTCGTTTGTAATTGATTGAAAGCTTAGAGCGTTTGTCTAGTAAGTGCTGCAGTAGTCGACAAACTTGGGCGGTTTCTAGTCGTTTCAATATGGTATGGGGGTAGCTAGTAATAAGAAATAAAAAATTGAAAAACATAAATATATACTTAAATTCATATATAATGAAACATATATTCGTCTGTGGTTATAATACCTCTGCTCAGCCTCTATTTGTCATTAATACCAATGATGCGGCTGAGATCTCCTAGAGTTCTCCTTTTTCTTAAACATGTGGAGGGAAAAGCTCGGCTAGGAGTGCTGAATGAATTTTTGTAAATATTGTATATATGTATGTCTGTATTTAAGTTGTTATTTTGATTAGTTTAAGTTTATTATTTAAATATTTGGGGGAGGGGGCGGGTTAGCCGAGCGGGCTAATGCACATCACCGCGCGTTGCCTAGCAACTTGATAACGGAAGTTATAGATGATAAAGTAATTACGAGTTCGCTTCCCGGTGTTGGGGGGAGGAGGGTGGGGGAGAGAAGGAAGGAGGAATGACAGGGAGCTTTTGATTCTGGCATTAAAAGGGTCTTCAACCACTGGCCCGAGAAAACACCGTATAGCCTAAAAGACGAGGAAGGGAGAACAAAAAACAATTTAATTTAATAGATTTCTTATTTAATTTATTAGGTTTCTTATACCTATTGTTATCTGATTCTTTTCCCAGCCCCGGTGAAGGCCTGAACTTTGGGTCGAATCTTTGGCGAACGAAAAAACAATTTAAGTTTCTTTTTGTTTCTGTAAATTTACTTATTTTTGTTATTATTATTTTGCTGTTGTTTTATTTAATTTATTTTTCTTTATTGTGCATAAAGAGTGATTGAGCTACTCTATCACTATTACTGAAGTCTTTAATTGTGACAAAATATAATTAGTCAAGAAAGAAATGTTTTGATGTAAAAAAAATCTTTATCTTTGGACAAATTTTGAGGTTGATAAAAATTGAATTTTCTACCATTTCAGTCAATAATATCTTAGAAAAACCGTTTAATTTAAAATTAGATTCTTTTTCCAAACCATGTTGAAACTGTAAGTGGGTTAAAACTAAATAAGAAAACCAGCTAATTCTGTCTCACAACACTAAAGAGAATGGATGGGTCTGGTATTAGTCTTAAGTTCTTTGCGTTGGGTCTTGAAGGAATTATCTTGACAACTGTATATTTATTCTTTTAGTTTCACATTGTTTTAATACGCTCATATACTTTTTTGTTTGTTTAATTCAAGGCAATTTTAAGGTTTTATTTTAATTGCAACTTAAGGCCGGAAGAATGAATAACAAATGCCACATATTTCTTCAATGTTGAGTTTATATTTACATTAACCATTAAGTTTTAACTCTTACAATAATTTGTAAAAACAGAAAAATTCTATTAAAATTTTGTCATAACACCTTTAAAAAAAAAGATCCTATTCATTCCGTTCAGCTTGTAATTGTTATGTGACCTATATCAATTTTTTATCAACAGATTTTCTTCCAATCGTTTTGAAGCAGAAAGATTTTCTAAGACATAGAAAAAAAAAGGTAAAATTAAGATATCAGCCATCTAGTAAGAGAGGTTTAATCAAACAACTTAATGAGTCTTGTGAGTGAAACCTAGACCAGCTAGTTACACTGACTAAGTGGGAGAAGAGCCTTTATCCCTCATCGATATAGTTTAAAGTTCTCTTTTCAAAAATACACTACCTTATTTCGTTTTACCTTATTTCTATTCTAGTTTTACACTATTCATAATCAACTGTTATTTTAATGGATTAAAAATATTGCTCAACATTCTATATTTTTGCATCTATTTATATATTCATATATTACAGATAAAATCTCATCGATATATGGTAGTTATTAATTATTTAGGTTTATAAATCATTTTACATTGGTTAAAGTTATCCCGACTGTTGCAGGAATGACAGAAACTCTAAGTAATGGCGTTTGATGTGTTCGGTAGTATGGTCATCAGGTATCAGTTTATTTAATAATATATCAGGGTTTGTGTGATAGTTGACAATAGCTGTTACGGGAGTGATAGATACTGTCATATTAACATCCACGTATACAGTGACATGTGACCACTATCAATAACCTGTTGCTCTTTTTCCTCCCTAATCAACTGCAGTAGTGATTGAGCTGGACAGCGGGATAAGGAACTCATGTATTATTTCTGAATTTTTAACCTTAAAATTTAAAATCCCTGGAGCAATACAAAACTATATATTTTATATACATATATATTTTTTTCCCGAATGCCCTCTACCTTGCTATTTCTGGCGAGATTGTTCTCGACTCTCAACAGACGAGGATTTTTCTAAAGGTACAACCAAATCTATTCTAGCCATAACGGAAAGATCGCGATACATTCCCTGATTCCGCCATGAAATAAATTTTAACCTTCCTTGAGCAGACTCGAAGAGGCTTCACTAGAATTGAGATCGTTAAAGTTCACGCTTTAACAGGCTGGCGATCATGACCACGCGTTTGCATAAAGGGGACCCTACACGGTCATTCGGAATTGCATTCCGGGGCACTAATGACGTTCCGAATTATCGTGTAAGGTAGTGAATTCCGAACAGCCGGAAATCAAAGGTTCATTCACCAGAAGTGGAGGGGAGACTGAGGTAAAAGTAGTGGGGATACTAACTATACTACTAGATAGGTTAGTTTACCTAGACCTCACAATCATTATAAATTCCTGATTTTCATGAAAAGTTAAATAGTTTTTCATATTCCTTGTTTATATTTTATAAACCATCTTCAACTATTTCTTTTAAATAATCAAGTGGACAATAAATTGAAAAAAAAAAGGGTAAACTTCACAATTTAGTTATAGAAAAAAATAATCTTTAACTGTTGTGTTTATTTATCATTAATGTTTCCATTTTTCTTAACAAGTTGATTATTTTCGCAATACTTTTCCTAAATTTTTGTACGTAGTTGACTTATATTTTTCTAACTTTGGTATAAACGATTTTCAGGTACTAGGGAGTAATTATTATATCTCCATTTTTCTCTTTATGTCCCATACTATAAAGGACAATTTCCAAATAAGCTTATCTATGCTGTTTTTTTGTTTACAACTGAGCTAAAATATCGTCAGCAATGATAAGTAATGATTGAACGTGTAGGAGTCTTCATGATCAAAGCGATACCGAGTAATCTTTGTCATTCTTGTGACTTTCATTCACGAATGATCGTGTAAGGGTCGCATAATCTTTTTCTCCTCTTTCTCGACTTTTCGGCTATATGTGTTTCTCGGGCCAGGGTAGGGAGCGGGGCATTATTCCAGAGTCAACAGTCCTTCCTCTTCCCCACTAGCACCAGAATTTGAACTCGTAATCTTCGACTTATCATATCTTACAAAAGTCGGCCAGCCCGCATCCTTCTTTGGGGCTATAGAGAAATGAAATATACAATAAGGGGAAGTATTGATATCTTACAAATTTTCTAAAAAAAAAAATAAAAAAAAAAAAAAAAAAAAAAAAAAAAAAAAAAAAAAAAAAAAAAAAAAAAAAAAGGCCACAACTATTTTAATTAAATTCGTTACGTCAATATAAAGTAAAGTGATCTTTAATATCAGGCAGTTATTATCTTCATTGAAATATTTTGGCAGGGCTTGAACGACGAATGCTCGAAATTTCTTCCTCTACGGTACTTCCGATTTTGGTCATTTAAAATAATCAAACACTTCACATTGTTATCAATAATTTAAAAAAACTGTTAAATTCAAACTATGAAACTATTTGACAATTAATTAAAAGAGAAAC